AGACTAATAAGGAGTCTAGATAAAGCTAGTTATATACTCTATTATATCTATAAAAACTTTATAATCCTCCTATAAAATAAGAGAACTAGAACTACGTCTTAAAACTCTTTAGGTAGCTAGTAAGAAGCTAGTATAGCAAGAGAATATGCCTAACCCTCTATTAGAGCTAGGAGAGCTAGGTATAGGCAAGCTAGGACTAGAAGAACTATAAACAGGAGACCTAGGTGCAGATAATAGCTAGATAAAATTATTAAGATCTATTAGCTTAGGTAACATAGTTCTTCTAGTCTAATTAGCTAGAAAATAGATAGCTAACTTATTATTAGTCCTTCTAGCAATAGAACCTATAGGACTTATTAGGGCTAGCTAAGGAGAATTTAGAGCAGGATTTATAGTAGCCTAGACGCGCTTATAGAAGGTAGTGCCTTTGCAAGGTTAAGTAAAGTAACTAATATTATAGGCAGAGGCAATCTTATACGCGCAATCCTACTCTTTCTTATCTATATCTAACCTAGCTAGCTCCTTACTTAAGGTATTCTAAGCAGCCTAGCAGCTAGCTCTAAAATATAAATTAGAATAGGAAGGAGTAGTCTTGCTAATAACTTTATAGGCCTTGCAGTAGCCTTTATTAAATTAATTAACCTTAGAAGGAGAGGGAGGCAATTTATTAGCAGCCTGCTAAGCCTAAGCTGCCTGCAGTTAGTAGAAAGTAAGAACCTAAGAAGCTATTAGGGCCTACTAAATAAACAATTTCTATAAGATGCCCTCTAGTATAAAGTATAGGCGCCTAGTAGGAAGACCTTGCCTTTTATAGGATTAGTAACTTAAGCATAAGGATCTCTAGTATAGATATAACGATTATACTTAGAGGTAGGATTATCCTTATTATTAGAAATAGTATACTAGACAGCCCCTATAGTAAACGCTAGCAAGAAACTAGTTAGTAATAGGCTATAGGGACTAATAGAATAGCCCTCCCTTTAGCTATGCTTAATAGCATGTTAATAGAAAGCCTATATATTAGCTAACTATATAAGGGTATATAGATTAACTAGCTCCCTCTTTTAAGGTATCTTATAGAAGAACTAGAAGAGAGTTATATTATAAGGCTAGAAATTGTTAGTTAGTAGAATATAGAATAGCTAAGGGTTAGCTATAGTTAGTAGATAGCTTAAGCTAATAGCATTATAAGCCTCTGCAATTTATTAAAGAAATAGCAGTAGTTAGATATATATATAGTTAAAAAGGAAGGCGAGAGCGTTACTAATATTATAGGCTAAGCGCTAGTCTAGGTAGTAGTTAAGGAATAGCAATACTAGAGAAGTTAGCAGCCTATTAGGCCTAGCAAAGGGAGCATAAATATACTAGCTTCCTAGATAAGGACCTAAGGAGTCTTTAGGCGCGGCTTAGATAGACTAATATTAGCACTTCCTAGCCTACTATAACCTCTAGAAGGCTTCTTATTACCGCTACTACTATCGCTATAGCGGGGCAGGTTATTAAATCTAGTCTAAGACATAAAGAATTAAGAAGTGCTAATTAAAGAATTAGGAAGTGCTAATTAAAAGGCTTAATAGAAGGCTAGAGTTAGAAGGTAGTAGAGAGGCGCCTAAGCTAGCTTATATGCACCTAAAGGTTAGCAATATTAGGTAGTAAGAGAAGTTGCGCATAGGCTCTAGAATCTAGTAGTAAAGTTAGCGCGTTTGCTTAGTATAGCTGCCTAAGAGCGCCTTTACTTACCTAGCTAATAAGCTATTAGGGCGCAAAGGGCTTTGCGCATACGCTAGTAGAAGCAAACGCGTATATAAAGCAATAAATAGCTGTTAGTAATAAAAATAGGCGGTAATAGGCGGGTATTAATAAGGTAAGCAGACTAATATTATAAAGTAGGCTATTAATAGCGTCTATAAACTAAGCTAGCATAAGGGCTATAATGCTAGAGGACGATATAAATAGAGGTATAAATAATAATATAAACTAGCAAAATAAGTTATTATAAAACTATTAGGACCTAGGTTAATATAAGCTGCTAAGAGCTTATTAGGGCGTTAGGCAAGGTTTACTATATAGGATATAATAGGTAGTTATTATTCTTAATGCTAGAGGAGATATATAGGCCTAGAATCCTATTAGGCTAAGGCATCCTACTAAGAGGGGTTAAGTTAGTTATAACTAAGCTGCTTATTAGTAGATAAGATAAGCTTAATAAGGCTAAGCTCTATAAGGTAGAGAGATATATAGTAGAGTATTAACTACTTAGTATAACTTAAGGCTCTATTAGGACTAGATGCAAGGCATATACACATAATAAAGACTTATAGCTTAAAAGACTAGTCCTAATAGACTATTAAGAGAGTTAGATAATATACTATACTTTAACTATATATATTCCTACTACTATAGTATTAAGGTAGTTTTTAGTTATTATGCAAATCTAGTCGTTGCGCGTATAGACACGGTACTATATCTATGCACCTAACGCCTAGAGGCACCTAACGCCCTAGTAAACCTATATTTAGCTATATAGAAATAAGGTTATAGAGCTACCTATAATAGATAATATTATAAGAGTTTTTAGTAGAGTTATCTATAGACCTATATAATAAACTTTGCTACTTAAATCTTTTTTATAGAGTAATTTTGCAGCTGCAGCAATTAAATATATATAGAGGTAATGGGGAGCGCTTATAAATAATAGGCTAACTACTACTACCTATACTACTATAGTTCTGCTTCTTTCTAGGTACTATAGCCTATAAAACTTTTTGCTTGCCTAATTAGAAAGTTTATATATCTTTTTTAGCCTTGCGTTTAGCTACTTTAGCAGCCTTAATAGCTTAGAGCCTTATCTAATCTTCTTTCTCTCTTACCTGCTTTATATGCTTCTCCTTAGCAATTATATCGTTATATTGCTTATTAGCAGCTCTTAACTCCTTTATCTCTACCTTTTTTAGTGCCTTATCTCTATCCTCTTAAGCTTGTTTATCTATATAAGCCTAAGCTTGTTAGAAGGTCTAAGGAGACTATATTATTACACCTCTATAGTACTTCTTATTAGGGGGAAGTTATAGCTGCTTATTTAGCTACTTCTTCTTCTTCTTCTAGAGGTTTAGAGTAGTATATAGGCTAGCTACCTCCTTATTAAGTAGCTTATTTTAGATAGATAGATAGTAGATAGTTTACCCTAGCTTCTAGGCACCTCTACTTTAAGGATCCTTTACCTTAGCACGTAGTAGTAAGCAGGCCTTTAGCTAATTATCGCTACTATAAGCTAAGGTACTAGAGGATATTAATAGTAAGTAGCTCTAAGATATATAGCAAAACCTATTAAGTATAATATTAGCATTTAGTAGTAAGATACTAGTAGCTCTAAAGGCACTAAGTACTAACGTTTTAGTAAAGGTATTTATCTAAACTAGCTAGAATAGGTGTATAAACTTAGGTTTTCCTATTAGGGATAGGCCTTAAGACTCTTAAAGATAGCTAGCGAGGCATTTAGAGTAGTTAGATAAGAGCGATTTAAAGCATACTATATCTAACAGTTAGAACGTTTAGGTACTATATAGAGGTAGTATCGCTATAATAATCTAATTCTAATAGCAATACTTAAGAAAGTCTTAAGTTAGGTAGCTGCTATAACTATCTACTAGGAGCAGACAGTACCTTTATAATACTTTTCTCTTAGTATATTAATTAAATACCTATATAAGCTATACTAAACCTATATTATTATTAGTCTAACTAGTAGGCAATAAGGTAGCATAAATTAGATGCGTTTCTAGGTTAATTTTAGCTACCTACCTTACTTAGATAGTAGAGTTTTTAGAGGTAAATATAACCCCTAGAGATAGAGCAGTACTATTAGCATAAATGCAAGCTAATAGGCTTACCTACTTATAGTTACTATCTTAATTAGACTGCCTAACCTCCCCCTTCTTCTAAGCACGCCTACTAAAGATATAGTTACTCCTACTAAGTACTCTAATAATAAAGCCTTTCTTATCTATATTATACCTATCTTTAGGCTTAATAGAGTATTTAGTAATCTTTAAGTATAGAGTATTAAAGTATATATTAAACTTTACCTCTAAATTACTATTATGTTAATTAGAGTCTATAGTAGTAACTAATTTTAAGATAAGGTAGATATAGTAATAGTTAAGGAACTAACTAACCTACCTATTAGAGTAGGGAGTTTTAGCTACTACTAACGCAAAATTTCGTATTATCTCTTATATAGGTACTAAGTGGCAGCTAGTAAGCTCTATTATATATTTAACTAGCTCCTCCTCTTGTTATAGCGTAAGTTTTAGCAGGTCCTAATTAGCTTCTTTGCAAGGGACCTGCACGCGTTAATAGCAACGCGCTAACATTAAGCAATTAACACTATGCTTTTTTACTATTTAAGTATATATAAACTGTTCTCTAGGTTTAAAACTATCTATTTCTATAAGGGCAGTATTATTTTCCTCTATAGTGGTGAGTTGTTATGCGTCAAAGTTGGGATGGTTGTGTGGTTCCCCGGGCGTTGGGTGCCTCCGGGCGTTGGGTGTCCGTGCACGGTAGTAACACAGTTTAGGTTCACGACAGCGCTTGGCCTGCGACATAATCATACTGCCTTTGTGTTTACTAACGTTCACTAATCCCAATAGCGGTGGTCCAATCGACAGAAATGCCTATACATTTCAGCTCATAATTTATGTAGCGGATAATGTCAAGACTGAAACCTGTTCCGCTTAGTCTGCTACATAGATTTGCTTGTTTGCTTGTTTGCTTGTTGCATCCTTCACAGTTACAGCCTTAACCGTTATTTTGCAACGGCTTATCGTCTGTGCCAGCGTGGGTCTCCTCAGCTTGGAACGCCATGCCGGCTTCGGTTACTTCAGGAATGGGAGCGAAGTAGATAAGGTTATTAAGAAGACTAACTGAGTTACCGAGGTACCTAGCTTGCACATGAGATGCCGGAGTCCCGCCCTAGATCACGTGGTGCGGAGTAGATTCTAAGAACCAAAAAACTACATAGACTCGAGTCTGATCACTGCACTACCAACCTTATCGGCTCTTGAGAATAGAAGTCATGCCAACGCTCCGGCAGATCGAAGCCATTTTCGACAACCTCAGCCAAGGAAATGCGGCAGAGTTTTATAAGCACGTTGATGATAACGTCGCGTGGACAGTAAAGGGTACGTCTACTCTTGACACCCTCTGTGGCCAACCTTCAATACATTAACTCATGTGCAGGCACTTTTTGCGCAATTGCAGGCGAATACAACTCCAAAGCTGCCTTCTTTACTGGAATCAAATCGTTGTCTTCAACTTGGGCGACACCCTTGAAACTTGTCGTCCAAGACATCATCTTCGATGGTGACAAGCGCGCGGCAGTTGAGATGAAAGCAGTGGACGTAATTTGCAAGAATGGCCTTGCGTTCAATAACGAATATGTCTGGGTGTGCCACTTTAACAAGGAAAACAGGATTGTCAAGATAAACGCATTCATGGACACGTAGGTTGAAATGATGTCACCTCCAGCAATCCCAGCGCTGACAATGTAGCGATTTGGTTACAAGGGCCATCGAACAGAATTCTGATTGAGCGACAACTTCGGGCTGGGCCAGGCGTATTTTATCAAAAATTGCCTCCTAATCGGGAATGGTACAACAAGAAAATAAGGCTGTTGAGATTTGTCCCCAATCAAAGTACGGAATTGTTTTACATTCACACAACTCAATACAGCGAAAGCTATAATTGGATTTTGGAATAACGTGGAGTACAAGTGAGTGACGCATACAAGCGAGTGACGCAGGCTGTTATACTAGTAAATAGCAAAATCTAGAGCCTTATAACTTTACTTTTACTAAAGATTAATAAATGCAATTCTAATAACGTACCTTACAGGCGAGTAGCGCCTAGGCTAGTAACTAGATTTTGCTAAGACTATACTTATAACAGGTATTATAGAATTCGTTATAGTGTTAGTGTTCTTGCAGCTATACTAACTTAGGCTAGTGTTATTAGTAAGCAAGCTGCGCAAACCCTAAGCTGCACGCAAGTATTAACATACTAAGTATTATTCTTAGTATTATTAGATCTAATGCTTAGTATGCGTGTTCGTAATAATATTGTTATTATTGTTCTTCCTTTAATTCTAAGGATACATTGTGTTGCAGAAAAATAGGGCAAAATAATAGCCACGCGCGACTACTAGATTCTCTAGAATTACTGCTATAAGTAGGCCTTTTCTGCTGCGACACATTGTTATATAGTTACACCTAAGCCCTTATATAACATTGCTGTGCTATACGCCCGCCTCTAGCTTATATAGTCGTAGATCTAACACGTGTTCCTTAGGACATCTTAGCCTAGCTTATCCTTAGTTAGATGCCGCATATCTTAATATAGGTCTCTATTTAACAAGTATATAATAAACCTACCTATCTTTCTACTATCTATCCTAGTATAAAGCAAGTACTATTGCCTATAACTAGATCTCTTATAGAAATAGGCTAGTAACCTTGTTTGTTGCAAGCCCTAGCTTAAATTATAATTAACTTAATAGCATAATTACTAGAGAGCCTTATATAGCAACCTAGTAAGTATTAGGCTCTAGTTAACCTTATATAGAATATTAAAGCAAAGTATAGTAACATATATATAGGGCAAACAGACTACTAGAGTAAGTAGGCTACTTTTACTAAGACTATATTAAATCTTATACTATTAACATACTAAATAGGTAAGTTAACTAGATAGGTAAGTTAATTACTCTACTAAGACCCTACTAAAATTCCACCCTCTTTTAGCCTATAACACCCTATTATAGGCCTATAAATAGTAATTTAATATATTATAGTATAGAAGAGCTATCTATAATCTCTTTTAATATATACGCAAGTTATTCCCTATCTCCTAGCACTACTTATAGCATCTTATAGTCTATTAACCTTTATTAGTATATACTATCTTCTTTATATATTTACTATTACTATATACTATAAACTTCTCTAGAGTAGTTAATTATACCCCCTCTTTAACTATTAGAGTCCCTTCCTACTATAAACACTTTCTTTTATATAATTTATATTATATTATAGCCTTATTAGTATCTTAAAGCTTAGAAACCTACTTGCACACTAACACTAGCAAATGCGCTATTATCTTAGCACCTTTTAAGAGCTTTTCTAGCGTGTTTATAATAGAGGAAGGTAAACTATCTATATACTTTTAAATCTTCTCTTAAACTAGCTTTAATTAAGACCTAAATTCTAGGGTATTCTAGAGTATATAGGACTGCTAGGGCTTATTAGAGATAGGAAGTAGTAATAGAGTATATAGTTAAACGTTAAGGCCTATTATAACCTATTCTAGGTTAAATAGAACTAATCTAGCACCTCTAAACCTTCCCTAGATATTACTTAGAGTTATTACTATATTATATATACGTTTAAAGTATAGTAGGAACTTAATTTTTAAGATATAGGTAATCTAGTTATATATAAGATCTTTAGCTTAGCACCTATATACCTTCTTTAATAGTATAAAATAACCTATATTAAGTAGCTATAGAAGGTATAATAAGTATAGAGGTATATAGAGTATAATAATCTTTCTCTTCTTATAGTATTATTAGAATTAGAGGGAGTTATAGCTCTTATAGCTATTAATAATTAGTAGTTAGTACCTTCCTATAGTATACCTCCCTATATAGGCTTTAAAGTGCTATAGCTACTAGAATCTAAGCTTATTTATAGTCTAACTATTCTTAGAGACTCTAATAATCTAGTTATAGGGTATTATATCCTCTTTATACTAGGTAGAGAGGTAGTTATAGCCTTAGAAGATAATAAAGAGTAGAATAGCCTATCCTATACTATTTATGCCTTAGATAACTATTATCTACTTCTAATTGCCCTATTAAACTACTTTTAGCTACTCTTAACGCTCTAAGCACATAATAACTACTCCTATTAATATCTAGCCTATTATAAACCTAGTCTTATTAAAGTTATATATGTCTTAGTCCTAGATACTATACTTAGCTTTAATATTCTATATAAGATAGAACTAGCCTTATATAATCTCTAGATTCTTATAGAGGGCTTACTTATAGTTATACTTATAATTAAACCTTACTTAGAGCTTAGAGTAGTACTTAATAAATATATTAGGCTATTTTATACTTATATAGCCTAGATTATACTTCTTATATAAAGAATTAGCTATATTAGCTACTATAGCTAGCTAGGGGGTAAATCCTCTTATATCTAGGTTAAGTATATACTAAATAATTACCTCCTCCTTATTTTTATCTAAGTTCTTTAATTTAGGCACATAATTAGCTTATATAGGTTATCTAGTATATTAATTATATAATATTATATAAGATATATTATAGAGAGCTATAGTATATTATAGGGAGATTATTATATCTTATTTAATAGCCTAAAGTATAATCTATATCCTAGCTTTCTTTAAAGGTCCTAATTTATATTATTATTATAGTATTATATAAGAAGGTAGAATTTTAGTAGAGTCTTAGCAGAGTAATTAACTTACCTATCTAGTATGTTATAGCCTAAAACACTATACTTTAGCCCTATATAAGGCAAAACAAGCTATAGTATTACTTAAGGATCTCTTCTACTTTATTTTTGCAAGTTTGCGCGTTATACCTACTCTCTCTATACTATCTATAGCGTTATTAGGATAGTTTACCTCCTTTAGCGCGCACCTACTTCTTCTACTTCTTGCTATTACTATACGCCCTAAACTCCTTTAGAGCTGCTAATTGCTAGCCTTTCTCTATAGAAAGGGACTCTCCCTTTTAAATATACCTTCTTTTATATAATTTATGCTCTATAGTAGCTGCTAAAGCTGCTTAAAGCTTAGTATTCTCCTATTATGCTAAAGCTAATATGTTTTATAAGCGAGTAGGCTACCTTACTAACTTTATGCAATATATATACTTTAATTAACTATAGCTCTCTTCTACTATAGCTAAAACAGCTCTTATAAGGCTAATATAAACCTTATAATCTTATCTCTTAATTAATGCTAAATATAAACTAAGAGATCTGCTGCCTATGCATATAAAGTCTCTTAAACTACTCTCTAATACTAACGCGCTAGGACGCGCACCTAACGCAATTAGCAGCCTAACTTAAAAAAGCTTACTAAGCTAGAGGAGCAGGTAATTATTAGATATACTTAACTTAGATATATATAGATTTGCGCCTATATATATAGCTATATATAATATAGCTAATAAGCTACTAGCTATACGCAGCACTAGTTAGGTTAGTATCTACTAGCTATGCAACTTTATTAAGTATATAGATAGTCTTATAATATATTTTAATTAAGCGTATAATAGATAGAGAGCCTTATATAAGAATCTAGCCCTAATTAGGAGCTAGTTTAAGCTTATAGAGTAGATAAAGGCTAAGTATAGTATCTATAATAATAATATCTATAACTTTAATAAGGCTAGCTTTATAATAGGCAAGATTATAACTTAGCTTATTATAATAGAATTAGAGAGGAGAGGTAGGCTAAAGGCTATCTAGCTAGGCAATTATAAGTAGGTAATATTAATTGCTATAATTAATACTGCTAGCTAGTTAGTTCTACTATTCCTTATCTTTGCTAGCTAGTATTACCTATCTACCTAGTATAAAGAAGCAGAGATTCTATGCAACTAGGTAATTATAGTTAGCAACAATAGCTAGATAAATAATAAGCTAGAAGTAGAGTAGCTAAAGCACTTTAATACTTATATAAAGACTTATATTATTAGTATGCATTACCTACTTATCCTTAATAGCTATAAGAGCTACTACTCTCTTAAGTTTTAAGAGCTCTATAAGAAGAAGAATATCTATACGCTCTATATACTACCTTACTTATCCTATCTACTATAGCTACTTAATATTAGCTACTTCTTGCTATTAAAGCACGCATATAGCTATAAAGTTAAGAGCCTTATCTACTACTATATTAACTATATTACTAAGCTTAAGTTTCTACTAGCGTTTAAGGCAGCATTTAGTTAATTATTTACCTTAGCTAATATCTACTTAGCTTTTTAAGGCGCAGGCCTTATGCCTCTCTACCTAGACGCTATGCTCTTAAAGCTTAATATATAGCTATATACCTACTCTAGATACTCTACTAGAGGCTCTCTAGAAAGCTTATATGCTAAGTAATATATATAAGCTTAAGGCTTAATTAATATTATTAAGTAATTATATATAATAGTATAAGAGCTTATTACTAGCTTTAATTATTAAGGTAATTAACTAGCTTAAGAAGGGTGCTAAGGTAGTAATGCTCTTAGCTAAGCTAATATATAATTAGATTACTAGCCTTAAAAAGGCTAATAAGGTAGTATTAGCATATAAATAGCATAAAAAAAAGCATATATAGTAGTATAGAGTCTTAATAAAGGGAGCTAGAGAGAATATACTTACTTAATATAAAGCTAATTAGTAGATTACTTATAAAGAGTATTAAAGAGGAGAGCAATTAGGCTATAGCTACTAGGCACTTATATACTATAAGAGATATAGAGAGACTAGATATAACTTATATATATATAAAAAAGATACTTTAGATAATATACTCTATAGGCAAGTAAGCTAATAGGTAAGCAAGCTACTTTTACTAAGCTTCTACTAAAGTATCCTTTCTATACTAATATCTTAATAATAACCTATTACTAATATATCTTAAGAAGCTTAGGTATAGCTTGCGCTTTAAGCTCTTTAACAAGATATAACTCTATCCCTATAATATGCTACTACTATCTATAGGGTTCCTTAAGCTATACTAAGTAGATAATATATAGAATAACCTTTATATACTAATATTATAGC